CGTCTTTGACTATTTTACCCACTCTATTCTCAACTGGTAAGCCGAGTAGCACATGAGAATTCACATTTGGGCTCATACCCTCCAGTCAGCATCAGGGTACTCACATTTAGGCCCGAAAACCCACGAACTGGGATTCCGAAACATGTCTTTAACTTCAAATAACCTGATATCTGCAAATATATCTCTCTTATTAATAACAAATCTAGGATCATATGAATACATGCCGTAATTAACAAGGAAACATTCAATTATTAAGCCTCAGTGACATAATCCAACGGATAGACCGGTATGTACAAGGCTCCAAGTGTTTACCCTCGCTATCGATTGAACTGCCTACTAACAGTCCTCGCGGTCACTGCCTTCACATTCGAACTGCAAAATAATCTAATTTGATATGAGAAATTGATTAGAAAAGCAGAAATAGTTCAGAGCTAACCGTAGCACTTCAAAATCCGCTCGTAGCTGTTTCTCGATTGTCACCTTCAATTCGTGAATCATAAAAGCGTCGTTGTTAAGTTGGTCGTGGAAATCATATCCAATGATGATGGCGGCTTTAACAAAATGTCTTTCATTGCAGGGCTCATGAAAAAAATCTCCAAGACTCACAAGCCTATTCCTTCGACAAGTATCTGTGGAAACACATCAAGTTTAGGCGGACAGTGGGCCATCAACAGCGGAATCACTCGCTCTTGGTAAAGCTGAAACATAACGGTGTTTATTCTATAAACAGTCGGATCGCCAGTGGTTGATAGGTAGCAATGATGAGGGTCAATGAGATGAGTAGATCCTCACTGAGGTGCTCTGGAACCGAGTTATAAGCCGCCGACTTTGGCCCCGCTCTACTCGGTGCACGCTCTGCCCACTTCGGGCGCGTCTCTCTTTCAACCGCCAACCCCTCTCTGACCTTATTCAATTTTCCTCGGCGTCTGGGATGTCCGGAACCATTTTACGACTTTCTGATTACAACTCCGTCCACCTAGATGCGCGACCCAGCCGCATCACCCGTGTGTCTCATACCTATCCATCGCTGACTCCTGGCCATCCCTAATCTTTTTTTTTCCGAATTCCGGAGTGCTCTGGTACTGAATTACAACGTCCAGTAATGAAAAACTTACACCGAAGCACGACCCGCCCGCTGTGGGCGCGTATTTCAGAGAGGAGGAATATGCCTGCAGTTCAGCTTTCCATCTAAGGCAAGCGGCAAAAACGCGAAGCTGAAAAAAAAAAAAAAACTATCTTCAGTTGAGTGGATTGGCACCATAATTCATTTGCCGGATTAAAATAGCAGCAGAGCTGCTTAATAGTGAGGAAAAGAAGAAAGAGCGAAGTGAAAAGGTCCGAAGGCTCTGGAAGGATCCCTGTTAAGCTCGGGTGGCAGAGTGTGCGGTAGAGACAGCTGATTCAGACAAGTTTTCCGCTGGCATCATGCTAATACTCGCTCTAATGGGTGCGGTGGCAGGCGCAGTCACACTTGCGTCAGATATGGGGTGGCAAGGGTTACATTCCATATCCTGAAGATGAAGAAGGCGTGGCCGCTCACTTCGTTTTTGGCGGCGATTGTGTTTCTGTGAGGAGGGGGAGGGTATTTTTGTTTCACGACAATCGTGATTATGTTTTTGTCAGCACAATTGGGGATGACAGTCGCTTAAAGTGGACCTAAGAACTATCCTGTGATATGTTCAAATGGAGTACGCAAACACATTCGCTTGCAAATGGTAGAAATCTACCCCTCCGCCCACTTCACGAGGAACGAAGCTAAGCGGTTACATCAAGGGGGGGGGGTCATCCCTCTCCCCCACTCCCGGCAAAAGAGGGTGTCGCAGGCCTTTGCGTACGAGCTGTGCTGTCTAATGGCTCAACTACTGAACAGATCCATGCCACTGGAATTCTGAAGAAGAGGCTAGAAATAAGCGGCGCGGGCTCGTCAGCTCGCCATAGAACCGCCTGTCTTCCTGCTTCACCCCACAAAATCGACAGTAGATTGCGAATGGAGCTCTCTTTTGAACTGCAGAAAGTTTTTTGTAGGTAAATCGTCGTTTGGGAAGTGGAACAGGGCTTCGTGGATAGGTAGACAAAGTGGACTAAACATATCTTGGATGGACATTTTGGAACTCGCATGTGAGTTTCTGTGCTTTCAGTGATTATGATTTTCTTCATTTATGATCCTTCGCTAAATCAAAGAGTACATGTGGAGGGACAAGACCTCTGGGCTTAGTTCGGGGCACCTATTAGTTTCAGCTAGACTTGTACAGGCCACGGGTGGAGACCTCTATATTTACTGAAAAAAACAGGCTGACTTTTTACTTAGGGAGCTTCATGAGAGTTTATAGCCCCATCAGAGTGAGTCTTGTTAGTTAACATGAACTATGTGCAAAATACCCCTCCCACCTGCCCAAGACGCACAGCGCCAACTTGAGCCAAACGATTTCACAGTGTCTTTGCTGGCTTCCTAGTTCATAATGGAGACTGGAGAATAATTGGAGAGTTTTTGAGCTGCTGGAAACCCGACATCTGCATCACTG